TGAATGGACTACTGAAATGGTAACCATGATAAAAGATGAAATAAGTGATTACCTAAAACCCTGGCTATTCTAATTTCTGGAAGTTATTGTTAAGGTTAATCTTTTCTGAGAGTTCACTATGCTTGTCTATATTTAAAAATTATGATCATCAATTTATAGTGCAGTTATTGACATTTAGCTACATAAAATATAACTCATTCAGCTCCTGAATTTTCAAGCTATCAGAGAAAGAGAGGAGCTGCCAGCAAATGTATTGTAATGATTTTTGCTTGAGGACTGTTAGAAGTTGTCAAAAAAAGTACAATTTTTTATTTTGAACAATTTATTATGCATATTCATTGTTGAACAAGAAACTTATCTACAAGTTACACTTTAAGAAAAAGCAATCATCTATAGAAACACAAGAATTATAAATCCATTTTCTCATTGTTATTTTTGGGCTTTTGAAGTTAGTGGCTGACTATTAGAAATTGAGCAGTCCATTTTATAATCATGATATACACAAAGAATAAATTATTTTATTGAAGTTTGAGTCTTAGTATTTGAGAGGAATCAGGTTTACATCTTCTTGGATTCAAAGAATCTTTTAATCCTAGATGATTTTGTATTCCTTGAAGAGAGGATTAGAATTAGGAACCCATGCTTTTGAATTTAAAGTTGACTATTGTGCATGTTAAGCCTACTTCCTCACCTCCACACCCCTTTCCTCTTGTTTCTAAGCCTTCCTAGATCTCTCTAATTATTTAGGGTGAGAAAAAGTCAACACTTGACCCTGCTGCCCTGTCTGACTTCTATCCCATCTCTTATTCTCCATTTATGGTTAAACCTTTAAAAGTAGTGTGCTCTACACTCACAGCCTATATTTCTGCTTCATGGTCATTCCCGAATCTAGTTTTTGTGTCTGCCATATGCTATGAACCCCTACCAACCGTCAGGGCCACCATGTAAAATTGGAAAGTTGTTCTCAAAGATCTAGGTCAAGGGTATATACAGAGGCTACAATCCAGGTGCATTTATTGGCTAAACCAAGTTCTATCAAGGGACTGTATCTGCCAAGAGGAGGTGGGTGGCATTTTTTTTTTTTTTTTTGCCTGTTGCTTTATACATCTGTGTCTTCATCAACAATTTCCTTGGTCCAGTATCAGCCTTTCCTGTCTGATCTTATTTTTCAAAATCAAAAGTAAAATCTGTTATTTAGAGGGTCCAAAATTCTTTGTCTACAGAAGGCATGTCAAAAGCCATGAATATTGCAAATCACCAGGGATTGAAATAAGTTATTTTTTTATGTATTTAAACAAAATGCTAGTTGAGAAAAAGGAAAAAATAAAGGCTGAAATTGTTATATAAAAATGCAATACCCATCTCTTATCATTGACTACTTCACACCCCATATACCAGTCACCATTAAATATTTACAGAAGACACTATTATATGAAAATAACATAGGCTTTACAATTAGGTAGACTCACACTGGAAATGCAAGTCCATCATTTTCTTGGTGATATTGCCTTGGGCTATCATTAAATCCACTGGGCTTCAGATTTCTCATCTACAAAAACATGATAAGACATCTCCTCCTAGGAGTCCTCGGTGGAGGATTAAGGGAGCTGTTTCAGAGACATGCCTGCTGTTTTATAGCAGCTAACACTAGAGTCAGAATGTTCTTCTGGTCTAGACCTTTCTTCATGCCAATTCTTTGCTAACAGTACTCTTAATTCCCCTTCTTTAATTAGATATATTTTTGCTCCTGCTTCTAGATTTAGCACAGCTGACACCTCTTCCCAAAAGGGTTTCTTGATACTTCCTTCTTAAGGTCCGTAGAAGCTCTCCCCTGGCACCTTATGCCTTTATCACAGCCTTTGTCCAGCTGTGCTATAATTGTTAATTGTACAAGAGGAGCATTATGGCGATTATGCTCCATTTATTTTTGTATCCATGGTGTTTAACATAGTGCATGACATATCAGTAATTATTTGATAAATGGAATTGTCTTGATTTCAACAATAGTTCAAGTGGACAAAAACCCTCAGCAAAGCTGTAGTAGCTGGGAAACACAGATGACTGGAAGCAGTGGTAATTAGGCCACTTCCTCATATTTTTTCATTTCTAATGGATAGTCCTCTCTTGCTTAATTTCTGGTTCATTACACTTTCTAGATTTCTTGGAGAAGAACTAATCTATTTCCAAGGCTTTAATGACTTCTAATCCTGGGGAACCTCTTTAAACCAGTTATCAACTACAAGGATCAATAGATCCGTATCTTGCTGATAGACTCACATCACCTGGGAACTCATAAAAGCTGAATCTCAGGCCCTACTCTCAGACCTTGCAAGTCAGAATCTGCATTTTAACTAGTTCCCTCATGATTCAAATATATGGTAAAATGTAAGAAGCACTGGATTAGTAACAGGTGTTTTCAAGAATAGTGTATTCTCTGAATTTCCTGAGAGAAATATATTTGACTATGAAGACTCAAGAAAAGCAATTGGGACTGTTACAAAGAAAATGGCATTATATATTGGTATATTGATGAGATCTTGGGCAAAATCAGGAAGTAACTTTCTGACCAAGAACACTGCAAATGAAACACTCAGAGCTAAGTAAACAATATAAATATTTAAAAAGGTTCAGATAAGTGAGAAATAAGATGTTTTTGTCTTATGCTTGATTCTTTTTTTTTGAAATAAAATGATTATCTTTTTAGAGAAAGAAAATGTCTTTCAAAAGAAATCTGCTATTCCCAAATCTGCTACCTTCAAAAGAAATCTACATGCACACAGATTTTGCATTCGGTAGCAGTTAAATGATCTAAGCAAGGATTTTGAAAACTATATCCTGGTTTCCATTTTCGTTCAAAACCCAGAAGCAAAACAAGTATTTGCTTTTGGCATAGTTGACACCCAAGTGCTTGGCAAATGTTTCTATGAGGCCAGCTGCCCTTTAAACATCCCCTTGGGAACTTTTCTTTTGGTTACCAATGGTAGAAAACCTATAACCCCCTATTTGCGAAGGTATTTGTCAAATAGGAAGGGCTCATGAATCTTCAAGATGTTTCAGAGGCATGATCAAGACTCTAGTTTCTAAAACTTGATCCCATTACTGACTTTTGAGCTTATCTGAAGACTTTGCTCTATCCTAGGGTTATATGAGTGAACAATCCCCCCCAAAACAGACATAAAAACAGTACCTCTCTAGTATTTCTTGGCTAAATAGTACAGGAGTAAAATTCTGAGAGAATGCCTCATCTGAAAATCTCATTGTATTTTGAGTGTTTTTTGAAGGTAACATTCCTATTGTGAATTTTGTGGACACATGGAATTTTCTGTGTACTTCCTTTGCGTTAGCACCAGTTTGGTACTGACTACTTCCTGGGTCTCTCCTTTATTTTATCTACCGCAATTCCTTATTCTCTTCTCCTTTTTTAAAATATGGAGCCTCTGAAAGTGTCTAATGACTGACCTTTAATGCCAGGTGCTAAATTGAATAGAAAGCTGTGGTCAAGCACTCATCTAGTGAATCAAGTAATAAAATTGTTAGTGACAAAGACTGCTGCCAAACTAGAGGGACACCCAAGGACAGGTTCGTGGATTCAGTGAGGTCTTTTCAAGTGGAGTTGTCAAAAAATTCATGGAAAACATGTATTCAAAAAGAACTATGCATGAATTTCAATTTTTTAAACCAAATATACTTTAGTTCCATTTTCCATGAACATTTTCAAGTCCTTTAGTAGGTGGTTCAAATATGTAGACTCGTGTATGTGCACTGGTGCAAGCACATGTGTGCATGCTTGTACGTGTGGACAGAACAAAAACCTGAATCTTCAAGTACATGCCACCTGTTTTCACATCATCGTTGTTACAAAAGGATTTTTTTTTTATTGGCTGAGCTGTCCTATTTTTCAGTAACTCACCTTATCTCTAACATATGAGTTATAGCCATATTTCCTTTTGTTAGACCTGAGCCTTTGGCCTTTCTCTTTTATATCAAAAGAAAGAGGGGTTTTTCTATTATGTTAGAGCAAAGCACCTCTGGTATATGTGGCGACTCTTGTGGCTTTCTAAATGCACTTGATTTAGCTTTCAATGTGTAATTACTGCCAAACAAGTTAATTGCTTTATAAGTGTCCAAAATTCCCCAGTTTAATTTTGCTTTCATTTACTAACCTTCATTATACACCCACTGTTCAACATAAACACAAATGATTGTTAATGAATGCCTAATGCCATATTCATTAGAAAATCAGGTTAATGACTGGCAATGAATATCCCAACTACTTTATTCTTTTAAGCTTTTTCTTCATTCTTTTTTCTTTTTTTTGGCTTGTTGATTACAATAGCTTTTTTGTTTACAAGAAATTCTACCTTCATTCTAGGCTTGCTTAAAAGCCTGAGGTAAATCTTTTCTAAGGGATTTGATAACCTCTTTTTTGAGCTCTCTGAGTAGATCTATGTCTACATTATATATTTGTTTCAGTCAGGTTTCCATGATGTTAACTCTGTATAACAAACACTACCACATCAGTGAATTTTCATTTCTTATTCATGTTTATGGATCTGAGAGTTGGCTACAGTTGTATTGAACTCAGCTGGAATTAGCTCAAGAATGTGGGTGGAATATCAGAATCACATGGCAAAGGGTATGTATACATGTCTAACCCTACATCACCCTAGTACACTGCAGTCGTCTCAAAATATGTCATCTCTCTCCTTCATGGAATGTGTCACAAATGAAAGTTTACATTAATTTGTCTGATTTCTTTCCTTATTGTCTACAGCTTTTTCTAGACTCTTGAGAATAGGAATTGGATTTGGTATTGACCATCATGCCCCTAGTATCTAGGATAGTGTTCTAAATAATATCAGGTACTGACTGCATAAAGGGACAACTATTGTTTGAATAAATTAGCTTCTGTTCTGCCTAAAAATCATCTTGAGAATGGAAATTTATATTTTTGAGATTTCCTGAAGTGATACTAAGTTGACTTGTTTTGAATCTTTCAGAAATCCCCTCGCTATATTCCTATTGTGAGCAGTGCGACCTTGTGGGAGAGAAGCACATCTCCTGCAAAGGTAAGTGGGGTGTTATCATGTAGGTGCCAGGTTTTGAGTTTCAGTTGCTTGACACATAAGATTTATTTCTCCTTTTTTTTTTATTTTGGACTTTCTAACTGATGAAAGATTTTTTTTTAATAATTTCAAAATAACATGAAAAATAATGTTAAAATACATTTCCTGTAGAACTTTAAATCCCTGTTTGAAAATCCACACTGTTTATTATTATTTTTAAAGAGAGAGAGAACATGTGTGCATGACAGAAAGAAAAAGAGTCTTGTTATACTGTAATACCCTTTCTCTAGCTAGCCTCTAGGTTTTTAGAATTTGGGGCCCTGATGTACATACACCCTGTGTGCTTTTAGACTGAAAAGAGATCTGAACCTGTAGGGACCAGTAGTTGGCATAATGGCTATGTCACTGGACTCCCATGTAGTCGACTATAGTTTGAGTCTCAGACCTGGTGGCTTAAACTCACGCCAGGTGCGTGTGCATGTGTGCCCAAGATCCCGAGAGGTAAATGGAGGAGAAGGGATCGTGGCATGGCCATCCCCCTTGGGGGATGATTTCTCACTTTCTGCCTCTCTGTGTCTCTGTTCTTCTGGCAAGTGCACACGCCCTATAGCAAAAACCTCTCAAAAAAAAGAGATCTGAACCTGTGGTCAGCCATATGGCCTCCAGCCTTGCAGGATGCTTGCATTACTGCTACACAAAAAAACTGCTGGGCTTGTTTATCTTTACACACAGATATATACACTGAGAAAAATTAAATCACTTTGCATGAGCAGTAATAGAAATCAGTATTAGATGTCTTTATAGTCCCTGCATGTGGGACAATGTAGAGAAACTAGGATAGTAGTTTTATCTTACCATAATCAATAATAATAAACAACTGAGTCATTAAGAAAAAGGTAGACCTGTTAGTGTCACCATCCCCCTCCCCTTTCCCTTTTCCATCTTCTACTTATTGGTTGCTAATGATCTCCTCTTGGTGGGAGACAAAGTGAATGTTTGTCCCTACAACGTGCTTGTGCATCTCTATAAATGACTGCAATGTGCACATGGAGATGGTCACCATGGCTGGCCCATCCAGTTGTCATGGAGCTATGGTAGCTTCCCAGGTTTAGTCCCACTGGAGTTTTGTTGACACAAGCAGTATTAGGGGAAAAAAAAGAACTTTTCAGCCAGCACTGAAATTTACACCCTAATGTCTCTAATTGCCTTCATTTCCTTCCTATTTACATGAAATGCCTTCTAAAGAAGATCACATAGTCCAGCTATACTGATGAAATCACAAAGTCCATGCACAGAAGAGGATGTGATTCTAAATTGCATAGTTTTATCTTCTACAGTCTCTCTTTTTCAAAATGCGTGAGCAGAGTTGCCACAAATACTGCTTGCAGAATAGCAGCATATAGTGACTGGAAATAGAATTTAAGAGAGAAAATCAAGAGATGTGGAAAATTGCATTTTAAGATTAAAGAAAAAGGTCAACTGTAGAAAGGATGAAAAACATGACCTAGTTGAAAAACATGACCTGGTTTTTAAACTGTTCTTACTCAACTAAAGCAGCAAATGTATCTAAATAAGGCATCTGCAATGTACTGTTTCATTAGTTAGTCTTCCATTTGGGTCTCAAGTAATTGACCTCCCTAGAATTCGTGTAACTAGGAAATTCCATGACTCCCAGTGTGTACTGTTAGGGAAGAAATGGATGACAAAGTCCCTTTATTATTGCCACTCTGTTATTATGTGTCAAGGTCCTAAGAAAGCAATGCTTCATGGAAGGAGACCACGAGTCCTTCTGCTCAACAAGGTATTTTGCAAGTGACAGTCAGGCATAGATAATTAGCTTATGCTATTGCACTATAATGGTTCTCAGACTTACAAATAACTGCTACCTGGGCTACTCCAGTGAGTCCTGGGAAGTGAGCATGGTCCTGTGTGAGATCAGAGGATTGGCATAAGCTAGATCCTTTTGCAAATGGTTTTATCCCTTCTTCTCTCATGTTCCCCCCCTTCCCTCTCTCTTCCTCTCTGCATTTGTATGGTTTTAGTGGGATAATAGAAGTAAGACTAAAATATTTAAGATTTATGTCTTTGAAAGACTCATACTATTTGTTGTTGTTTATAGTGTATATTGTATATCGACTATTATGTACTTTATTAAATAGTATACATTACATTAATATATTGCCCAGCAGATAATATATCATATGTACCTTACATAATATAGTAATCACATATTATATAGTAGACACTACTATACTTTATATGTCAAATAACCTATATTGTGTGTATATGTGTACATGTATGTATTGCAGTATTATCCCTTATATAGTTTATTTACTGACCATCTAACAGTGGTCAGAGGGCTATTTTAAAAGTAAGAGTATAGAGAAAAATACTTTCCTTTTAGGAATGTATCACATAGTGAAGATCAAAAGTAATGAGAAATTAGTAAAGATAAGTGGACAATTCCAAGGTAATGAAAACTGCAGTATTATGAAGAAGGTAAACTGGGGTGGCAGATCAAGGTGATGTGGATGATGGGTAGGTTGCAGCTTTTGCTAAGATAGAGTAGTCATGGAAAGCCTTTCCAAAGAGGTGAGACCTGAACCTTATTCAGAACTTTAAGATGGAGACAACTGGATAAAGTCTGCTTGGCAGAAAGTTCTCAAAGGCAAACTGTTGCAAGCAGAAAAACTAGCTAGACTGAAGTAGGCTGGGCCTGGAATGTTGAAGAGCAGAAAGAATGTCAATATAGCTGAAAGTGAAAGCAAAAGAACAGATGGAGGAGTGGGCAGGGGTCAGATATCATGGGAGGGGTCATGTGGCCAATGAAAGAAATGTGTCTTTTCTTCTTGTTGCAAGGTAGAAGCGTTAATGGGAGTTAATTTTTATAGTAGGGGATGAAATAATTTGATTTACCTCTTTCAAAGATACATGGGAGGCTGGAAAGTTGTGTAGTGGTAAGATACAAGGCTTTGCAAAGCTGACTCACATAGATACATTATGGTTTCACATATGGAGACCTCCCTGGCTACATTGGACATGCTCATATCCATGATCTGGGGCCAGCAGAGGCACAGAATGGGTCACAAGATCAAGACCCTGATGGGGGTACTCTTGCTCTTCGTTTTTCTCTCTCTCACGCGCTCATGGAAGGAATAAATAAATTTTTAAAGAGAAGTCACCAGATGTTGTGTACAGGATAAATTGTTGGGAAGCAAAGGACCGTAAGTCCCATTAGAAAGACAGTAGAGTACTCTAATAGGGGAATTATGAATAGGACTGGTTCCACATTAGTTGAGTGAGGTCAGATTTCAGAAATACTTTGGTAGTATAGCGAATAGGAATAGATTAGATGGATTAGATGTAAAAATGTGGAAAAAAAGTAACCAGGAAGGACTTCTACATTCTTAGCTTGAAAAAAAAAGTGGGAGTGGATGGTGGTAGAGCTAGTGAGGACTTTTGTTTGTTTGTTTGTTTTAAAAGGGGGATTTTTTTCCAGAGGGCATGTGAGCTCACCAGAGAGACAAAAAGAGAAATTACCCCCAGAATGGATGGCCATGCCACAATACCTTATCCTCCATTCTCCTCTTGGGATTTTGGGCAATCACACACATGTGTCTAGTGTGAATTTTAAGCTACCAGCTCTGGGACTAGAACTGTGGTTGACTATATAGGAGTTCAGCATCTCACCTATGTCACCTGCTGGCCTCACTAAAGTGGGTCTTAGAAGTGAGTTTATACCATAAGTTTCATATTAGAGAGAAATAAAAGTTAAAAATTAAAACAGTAGGAATTTGACTTAAAGGGTAGTTATTTAAACAATAAATTCAAAAAAAGCAAAAAGAAAAAGTTAATAGATGACATTACCAAAATAGAAAACAAAAATGCAATTATAGGCCAGCCCTGTAATGCAGTGGTCAAACACTGCAGAGGAAGCTGGATCCCACATGGTCAACTAGCGTTTGAATCCTAGCCTCAGTGGTTTACATGCTGGAAGTACATGTATGTACTCAAAATCTTGTTGCAATGGAGAACTGGAGGACAAAGAATTGTAGCATGACTAGACCCCATTGGGGGTGTTTTCCTTTCTTTTTCTTTTTTTCTCTCTTTTGCGCATGCATGTGCCATCTGGTATTTAAAAAAATACAATTAGAGATAGTCAGAAAGGCCAAAAGCTTGTTTTTAGAAGTTAATAAAAGAGACAAATCTAGCAAGACTAAGGAAAAAAAAACTGAAACAATGTTATGAATGAAAAGGGAAATGTGAGTACAGATCAATGGTACAGTGGAGTCTTAGAAAATCAAGTCAATACTATGAATAACTTATGTTGTATTAATAAGAAAAACAAACTGTTTTCTCCTATTATAAGATCTGCATAGAAAACTTCTGTTATAAGGTTAAATTTTTCCTATATCAGCCAATTCTCTGACACTAACTGGTTTTCCTACAATTTAATTAATTGTGAGCATTAATCAGTTAGTGAAGATCCCACAGTTTAAAGGTACACTCCTCTCAACTTCAGACACCAATATTAAGTGCCAGATTATCATCTGTACTTCTGACCAGTGGCTATAAATTGGGGTTTTCACAGCTCCCTTCTTGGGTTTGATAACTTGCTAGAAGTTGCTCATAGAATGCAGGAAAATAATTACATTTAATAATTTGTTATATAAAGAAGGATATGATAAAAGATATGGATTAACAGCTAGATTAAAAGATAGACAGGGTAAGATATAGGGGAAGACACTTGGTGCTCTCATTCCTTCTTCAGGCTCATGACCCTCCCAGCACCTCCACATGTTCAGCTACTTGGAGATTCTCTGAACTCCACAGTTCAGGGGTTTCTATGTAGGATTCATTACATACGCATGATTGATTATTGACTTGATTTTGAGCCACTTTTCCCTTCCTAGATAACTGGAGGTGAGATTGAAAGTTTTAAGCTCCTAATGTTAAGTTGGTCTTTCTGGTGACCAACTTTCATCCAGGATCCACCAAAATTA